TGCGTCGAAGACCGGATTGGGAGCGGTGCTGTAACAAGCCCAAGGACGTGGAGACCAACTGGTCACCTACGCTTCGAAGGGCAACAGCCCCACCGTCTCTAACTACAGTATTTCCGAGCTCAAGTATTTGGCCGTGGTTTGGGCTGTGAGATTGTTTTGACCGCACTTGTACGTGCATAAGTTCACGATTGGGGCGGACCGCATCGCGTTTAAATGGCTGATGACTGCTAAAGAGCCGGCCGGAAGACTACACCGATGGGCACTTACGCTACAGGAGTATGATTTCGATATCTTGTACCGTCCGGGGCGCGAAAACGACGTGGCCGACGCGCTGTCCTGAGGCCCAGGGACGGACAAAGTGGACATGCAGCAGGAGTTCGACAACGAAGATGAGCCCGCCATTGGCAGAGCGCAAGTGAAGCAAGTGATTGCTAGAGATGAAGTAGCGGGGGTAGTAGGGCTAGAGCTGGAGCATTTAGCGGTGGAGTTTGGCGGTGTCGCAGCAGTACGACCCATAGATAGTGCGGAGCTAGGAGTAGTTCAGCTTACGGATGGAGATAGTAAGCGGAACAGAGCACGTCGAATATAGTGCAGGGATAACTGGAGCATGGCGATTATCGTGGACGACGTGTATTTGTGAATGACGATGGATGGTACGAGTGGATATTGCGCCGGGAGGGGAGCGTGTACTACTTCCTGCTGTGTATTGGGCCTTGGCGTTCAGTCACGACAGTATCTGGAATGAACATATGAGGGGCCCACAGACGAGCGAACGGCTGCGACGATTGTATTGGTGGCCTCATATGGTCAAGACTGTGAGAAGTTGGGTCTCTGCCTGCCAAGGATATGGCTTGTGAAACGCACACCTAAAGCGGTAGTGCTTCCATTACGAAGTGTCCGTACTGGAGACGTCGGAGACCGTTGGGCAATTGACGTGGCCGGGCCGTTACCCGTGACACCGAACGACAAGCGGTTCGTAATAGCAGCGGTAGAATACACCACCAGATATGCAGTGGCAGAGGTAGTAAGTGAGCATAGGCGGAAGGCGATTGCGAGGTTTTTATGGAGCGAGTGGTTTTGGGCTTTGGACCTATGCGGGATATTATGATGGACGGGGAAATGGAGTTCAGCAGTAAGGCTACGGTAGAGTTGTTAAGGCTGCTGCAGGCGAAGCAGTCAACACCAGAGCCCTACCGACCGAACCTGCTGGGTCTCGATGAACGTTTCCATCGCACGTGGAAGGACATTGTGAGTTTGTACGTAGATGCGGAGCAAGCCGCCTGGGACGACTTCTTACCGAGCGCCCTGTACAGCTACAGCTCAGCGAGGCACGCTACGCATGGGTATCAGCCCAATGAGCTGATGATGGGCAGGTAATTACGCACGCCGCGGAACTACTGCGGCGGAGTCGATTGGGGTACCCACATGGTACACTGCAGGGGTACCACTAGGTCTTAATAGCAGACTTAAAGGAGGCGAGCGAATTGGCGGCGATGACGCTGGAGAAGGAGCAGGCGCGACAGGCAATGTACTACAATCAACGAAAGGGGCGTAGGGGACGTGAGCTCCGGCCGAATTCGTTAGTCTGGGTTTACCGTTCTGCACGACGGCCTAGCATCACGAATTTTGGCCACCGCTGGCGAGGGCCCGCCCAGATCGTAGGAGCCGCAGGATACGACAACTTCCTGATTAAGATGCTGGAGTCAGGCAAGGCGATTGTCAGACACTGCTCGCTCTTGCTTAGCTACTACTACCCTACACATCTACTGGACGACATGGCGGCGGATATTGCGAGTGACCTGTGAGAAGAGGCCATTGCAGCAGCGGATATCGACCCGGATGACGACGGAGAAACACCCAAAATAGCAGGAGGAGAATTCGGCGGTCCAGTGAGCGGGTCGTTGGCTACTGAGGAGCTCGGTCAAGCCTTGACACCTGCGAGTCGTACGCGAGCCAGAGCACGTCGGGTGCCCTACGACAACGAACCAGTTCCGAGTAGCCAGCGGGGTGATGCACTTGGGTAAGCGATGTCTACATCTGCCGGCGATCGAGGAGGTAACGCCGATAGGGACGACGCACGCGACGCGAGTGAAGCCGTCGGGCGTTCACGTCGCGCTGATTGATGTTGTCAAAATCTTCGTCGTGGCAGATACGGTTTCGGTCGCGTGAAAATTTGCCGAAACCTTCATGAAGTCATTCCGCCGCGCGGGGATTGCCTCCTTCGACGATATATCGGCGTCTCTCCTCCTTGTACTTTGCACGTCTATACGTGTATACAAACAAAATTCAAACACGTGGTACGTTTTGTTAGTTGGAAGCAAGATTCCAAGACGTACAGCTGGGAATACGACCTTTGACGAAGCTGTCAATATGTTGTTCAGTCTTGCGTCATTAACCCCTTTACCCCGAAAATTGTTCCGGATTATCCGTATTAAGTAGCATATGAATTAACGTATACGGAAAAATCAGTACTAAATATCTTTTTGAAAGCCTATTGCAGGGACACGTCATCAAGTGAGAGCTTACGATTGGCTGAGAACGCTGTTACAAAAACGGCATGTGAACAAAGAGCGCACAAAATTCTCTGAATTAATATAACCCTGCAAAAATGTTCAGATAGTTACCGGATGGGCAAACGAATTTCGCGCCAAAATGACAATCATTCATGGAGCCAACACACTTTCATTCAATCCTACAAAAAATCCTCGTCGGTGTTGCCGTCGTCCACGCGGCGCTTCGCTACGAAGCGAATCTTGTGCTGCAGCTCGGAAGGGACGGCAGTACCGTTGCGCCACGTTTGGTGCCACACCTGGCTACACGTAAGCTCACTGCCCTGCTCCAGCCGTCGCGCCATGTTGCACAGGGTTACACGGCCCTTCTTGGAAAGCGAACAGGTCCGGCAGAAGTAGCTGCTCTCATAGCTCCGTACTCCCGGTCCTGCCAACGCGGAGCACACCTTACACCTGCCTACTCTTTTGCCCGTTCTTCTCTCTCGCCTGCTGCAGGGCGTGTGGCTGCCTTGGCACCGGAGCAGCTAACAGCTCTTCGCCGTTGTTTTCTGGAAGAAAATCTTCACGGGTTTGCGACAGAAGGTCAACGTGTAGCCGCCGCATGAACTCATGGGGTTGGACGGCGGTTTTGCGTTGTAGCTTGGTTCTATACTCCTCCACTGACAGCACTACAGTGGACGGAGCCTTCTCACGGCGCAGACGTGCACGTTCACGCATCGACAGCGCTACCTCTTCGACACACTCATCCCGAAACTTGTTCGTCTCCTCTGCAATCTTCCTCCTCAATTCTTTCGGAAGAAAGAAGAAAAACATTGCCAGGGGGCTATCTGCATACGCTAGCGCAGCTTTGGTAGGTCCAAAGGGTCCTTCATACATCGGCGAAGCATCGAGACGTAGCTGATCATTTGTGTGTTTATCGTACGTGTCCCATCCAGCACGTTGCAGATCATCCAAGACTTCCTTACCCAAACCAAAGTTCACATCATCGTCAAGTTCATCGTCCTCGTAAGATCCGGTTGACGCTTCGTCATCGACATCACACATGTCCTTGTCCAACAAAATGCTATCTTCATCTCCTTCGGTATCAGAGTCGAGAGATAGCAACCAGTTGCCTTCCTCCAAGTAGAGTTCTTCATCATCGGTTTTGTCAAAGAGACGGTCTCGACGAAGAGCAGCCAAGAAATCATCCGAGTCAAAGTCATCGAGGGTAATGGCAGGAGCTGGGCGTTCACAGTGATCGTTTGAGCATTGAGCAGTATCAACGGATCCATCCGAAACAGCACGTGAGGCATTATCCTGAAGAGCCCCAGTCATATCCGGAATAGTGTGTACGGTGTTATCCGGAACAGGAGCATTACTCTCCGGAACAGTGCTGCCTGTATAATCCGTAATACGTCAATACGTTAGCAACATACCAATCCGGCGCCGCTTGCTCGATGCATTGCTTCCTGTCGAGCTAGCCTTCCGTTTGCCATTTGAGGTCTTCCCGGAATTAGCGATATCATTCTTGGCAGCAGTTGGTTTGTCTGGGCCTGGGGGGGGGTTACCGTAGAAGTAGCAATAGTCGCTTCATGATTAGTCACCAATCCGGCTCCTGTGGTGGGGACAGTAGTCAGTAGTTCACTTTCCAGAGAAGCTGCTGTCTGGAGAGGAAGCACTGAAGCTGGTAGAGGAGGTAGCTCCAGCCATCCTTGGCTTCGGCAGTAGCGTAGTAGACTCACTTCACCTTTGTATACACAGCAACAGTTAGGCACTTTCAACGCAGCAATACAAGTCGGTAGCGTACCAACGAAGTAGTCGACACCTTCAACGCCCTTTGCATCTCCCTCGGGTGGTACGTAGGTGAAGTCGACGCTCAATCCCTTCGGCCGTCTGGGTATCCAGCCTTTTTTGGTCAGCTCTCTCCAAATTTGCTTGAACGGCTTCTCCATCTTGAGAGTGTTGGTCTGTCTGGGTGGCCGCTGATTTTGAAATAGACGGCTCCCGGCCTCGTGGATTCTTATACAGTAACCCAAACCCTTTCCCGCAAAAAATCATGTCACGGGTTCGATGCTTACCCTGCCAAAGTTTATGTTTACAAATACCTATATGCGGAAATAACATGACAGATTTTGCGAAGCAGAGATCCCGGAATAATAACACCTCCATAAATTGTATTCCGGATTATCCGTAATGCCGGTGTAGAAGGGTTAATCTAGTACATCCAACTTCGTTTCCATCATGCCATTTATCCGTCGTAACTGATCAAATAATCAATTTCGTTCTGGAGATCAGCCGCGTACTATCGCTGAGCGTTCAATCTACTCCTTTGTGCATTCAACTTCATCAAAAACGGCAGTCAAACTCGTAGCTTAAAAATTGGCAAACAGGAAAATTACGGTAGGAGCCCCTAATAAGTATTCAATGTTGAAAAAACTGCGATCAACCTCATTAAATTTTCATACCAAAATTTATCGGACCGGATGACCTTATCGGACCTGTACCAAATGCATGGTACATAATAATAACAACCCTCAGTACAAATATTTAAAATCAAAAATTAGATGCTGTGGGCCACACACTAACATTTTTAATTTTACAGCAGGCAAACCCAAGGCAGGTGGAAGGCGGCGAGGGGCGACGACGGCGGCGTCGACACGTGTGGCAGGAGGGTGGCGGTGACGAAAAGAGGAACGGCAGGAAGGCCAGAAAGGGCAGCAAGTGTGGAAGGAGCAAGGAGGACATCAGCCGCGGGCGGACCCTCAACGGCTATGGCGGCTTGCCCGGTAGGGTGGGCGGCAGGCTGCCCGGTGGATGGGATCCTGTAGGTGGCGCACCGGACTCCGGCTGTACTCTACCACCAGCAGCGAGGATGCCACCGCCAGGCTCCATGCAGACCCCATAAGAGCTGTTGCCCCACCCGGCAGGGCGGGAAGCATGCTGCCGGCTGGTAGCCCGCTGGCGAAGCACCAAGTCCAGATGCCTGTCCCGTCGTGTCGATATAGAGCTCGATGCTCTCAGTAGTTGCGTGTAGCTAGCGAGCGCTAAATAATGTAAAAAAAATGTCCAAGTAATTGATGCAAATTGTCAATGTCTCTTTAATAATGGGTACAATAATATGAATTCGCAATGCACCACCTATTAGTAGTTATAAGTGTAGCTTCTGCATCTCGTCATCACAGAGGCTCTTAATTGCATTCATCATGTCGCCATTTAAGCGCTTTCGAGAACTTGCTACGGTATAAATACAACAAATTTTAAAAGCGCTTATGGAGTCGTTTGTACCGAAATGATTACGCCGGTCGGATAAAATGAAAATATGCGTCTGATACGCCGGCATCTTAATATTTGTAAGGGGATACACATTTTTCCGCTCCCGTCGGATCTAATACGTAGGATGTGGAGATTAGATGACCAACCTAACCCTTGGCGGATTGATTGGCTAAGACTGACACATTATTTGGATATGATTGGTTATCCGAAACAAATAAATATATATTTGGCCATTAATGCTGATACTAAACTTAAGTGAGGTCCGATAAGTGATGGTATTCATCCAAAGGTATTCCTTCAGCAGCAGCGTTGGCAGCCTTGCTACAGTCAAGCTTCATTCCAGATACCAGAACCGATGTCATACACTTCATTTTTGTCTTAGCAGCCCTCTTCAGAACGCGCATCTGCCTTCCAGCTAGCGTTATCACGTATCTATTCTCGTCCAATTGACGACTGGGATCGCATATTTCCAAGCGGTAGATTGCTAAGTTCCTCTTTATGTTTGCCTTTGACACACTGAAATAACCCTCTATCAGGTTGTACATGGGGGAGTACGGCCCGAGCCGTAACGGCTTAATGTCTTCGTGCTCAGTAGCGCGATCTCCGTCTGTCGGAGGGCAGGAGCATTAGCAAGAACGATGACAACCATTTTGCACTGGAAGAAATTGCGGAACTCTTGCGACGCCTTGACCGCCTTGTAAATCTCTTCGACGAAGACAGCATTCTTCTCCATACGAATCCTGCCATGTTCCAATTATTATGTCACCAGCCCAATGCTTGACGAAACAGCACATTAGATCTGGAGGTTAACCTCTTTGGAGGGTGGAAGGCTAAGCACGGCCCTTTCTCCTCGCCTCGGTCGTTCTCGCAAGCGCTTTAGATAGATGTTGTAGTAAGTTTCATCATAGTAAACGATGCTGTGACCTGCGTGTTGATGCTTCTTTAATTTTACAGCGAGCACACGTCGTCTCTCAATGTTACTGTCGCTATTACACGTGGTGGGGTCGACTCTCACTTGTTTTACGGTAAACCGCATGCTCTTCAGTTGTCGGCTAATCGTCCAAGTGTCCACCTTAACGCCACAGTCCAGAAATAACATTGTCCTCATGGTGTCCAACGTGTAGGTCCAGTTTCATTCCGGTACTCCACCACGAGGACATTAGCTTCAGGCTTCATCTCCACGTGCTTCGAGCCTTCCCGAGGGAGATTGTCCACGTGCCCACGCCGTACCATGTCCTAGGCAGTAGTCACAGGAATCCCGTTGAAACGGGCAACGGCTAGCCAGGCTTCTCGACCGGCACGATAGGCTTCAAGGATTCGCTGTATCTCGATGAGGGTGTGCAGCGTGATTCGAGAAGGCATCTTGGCGACAAGCGGTAAGTTAGCAAATGAACCATATCGCCCTTCGTTCTGAGCGATTTGAACAAACCTCGGGCTTTGGCGCAAGTCGAGCAAAGCCTGTCGTTTTGGCGCGAATCAGTCGTGCAAATCTTGTGCGAGGTTGATTGCAATTTTTTCAACATTGAATACCGACAAGGGGCTCCTAGCGTAATTTTTTCTATTTGCCAACTTTAAGTTAGGAGGTTGACTGCCGTTTTCTACGAAGTTAAGTGCACAAAGGTGTAATATTGAGATCAGATCAAGTCTGACCTGACCTTTATGCATCTTCTCTTCCAGTTGCATATTTCACCCCCCAATCAATATCGCGTTCAAGCTGGGATTTCACTTGACTCTTGATTTCTTAAATCATTTTTTCTGGATATCTATTTGTTCATGTTCCTTTTTAAACAATTCAGCCTCGCTCACGCATTCTTGCTTCCGCTTTGTTTAACTTAGCCTCTTTAGTTTTCAACCTTGTTGCTCTCTCGCCTAGCTCGTAAATGTCGGCGGTTTGCGATTTCTTTGTCCGGCAAATTAAAAACTGCTGGATACAATGACCACTCAAGCGCTCTATTTCAGCCCTTTGCTTTATCATTTCAACTTGACGCTGAGGTTCTTGTCTGGTAAGGGCTAGCTCCAAGACGTCCTTGGGTGTTTCGGTACCGCCCTTTAGCTTACGCCGATGCGACAAGGCCACTCTCATCAGCGAACCGACGCGCCTTTCCAGCGCTTGTTGGTGACCCGAAAACGCTGAAACCTTATCGATTTATGATGCCGTTGCGTTGTTCACTGGCCTTTTGTTATTGCTCCTTGCCGCAAAAAAGTCTTCGCTAGTTCATTCGTTTGAGAAGGGCTCAAGTAAAATCGAGTGGGATGAGCCTTCGTACTAAAGTGCCGTTTGTCCTGCTTTATTTACGACCACATTTTTCGGCAGCGCGCCGCAAGCATGCTTAGCTCTATCGCTTGCCCGCGTAGTAATCAGGAGCGTGTCAGATGAATCGTAGCCTTGAAGTACCTGTGCGCTGCCGGGGGGGGGGGCGGTTGATTTACGCGAACCCGCTTCTTGTGAGGTTTAAGTTGGCATTACAAACCCTTGTGCGCTTCCGAGTAGGTGCTCGAGCATTGCAGACATCTCGGCTGGGGTCGCCTGCTGCTGCTGCTCCCCAGTCAAAATTCTACCTGTTGCGCTAAAACCAGCCACTGTGGGAAGTTTAAGAAGATTTCATTAATCAAAATCAGTATTTGCTTAAGAGCCAGTTATTTTGGACACGGAAGATTTTGTAAAACACGTCATGTTGAGAGGTTTACAATATGTGCTAAACGTATCGCATTAGTCCGATTTTTAGTAGCGGACAACGAGTAAAATCGCCCATCTTAGAATACTTACAAATTTGTGAAGCAAATTCGCAGCTCGATGAACCCGTCGTTTGCCGCCCAAATGCCGTTTGACATCCAGCAACATTTGGAATCCATTCCTTGTTCGGGCAACATTGCATTGTGCGAACATCATCTAGCGGATAAGTAGCGCACCCTTAAGTGAAGAGCTTTGGCGCACAGCATTGCAGCGTCATTCAGGCGATGAAGTGATGTCGTATAGCTGCTTCCTAGGTTTATTTCTGTTGTGCTGCTGCCAGACATGCGCAGCCTGTGACTGGTGCCTGTGAGTGATGACGTTACACAAGCCCTAAGCAGCGGGGCTACCGTAGCTTTAGCGTCAGAGGAAGACGTTCAACTTAAAGGGGTACTGATATTTAGCTCCTTATCCGAAGGAGCTAACAGCCCACGACCAAGGCTCAAAGTTAATACCTTAACTTTTATGCCTTAAAACCAGAAGTGTTTTATTTACTATTATTGCGGCCAAGCCGCCTCGGGGTAATGGTATCTGTTTAAACCTAATCAAATGCATAACGTGTGGCTTTCAGCAACTTACTGAGAGACTATGTTAACTCTCTGACTTATGAGCTGAGAGTTTGTTAACGCTTTGGGTACTGCGTACCCCTGTGTGTTCCACACCATGTAGCTCTGTTACACTCTCCCCCACTAAGGTGATAGCAATCCGTTCTCGAAACTACCTCAGTGAGGACACGTCTTGTCAAGGCAGCGGAGGTTACTGCACCTCACACAAGCGTCGTACAGCCCCACGAGCCACAGACGCCTACGCATCGTTGATGCCCAACTTCTCGTCGTCGGCCCACGGCTCAATGTTCCATGCATATTGCGAGTCTTCTTCTCAAGCGGTCTCAGACCTACGCTCGCGCTCCGCGCCTACTCCAAGCGCTGCAAACCGCGTAGAGCTATGCTATTGACGCATCCGAGGCGTCGATAACAGCTCAGCGGTTGAACACTCGCTTCACAAGCGAAAGGTTGGTGGCTCCATCCCACCAGAGCGTCGCTTTCGCGTTCCCTGAAAGATTGTCCAAGCTTTGACAAGCTTAAGGGCAACCCCCTTTTAGCTCAATGGCTGAGCGTTGGCCTTGAGAGCCACAGGTCGGTGGTTCGATTCCACCCGGGCGCAGCTCTCTCATATCATGCTCTAGCCGGTATGACTCCATCTGCTTCACGTGACAGGCGTATGAATCGATCAAGGTAAGAACAGCTTCACCGTATAGCTCTGTATCTTTCCGCCTACACGCAACCTTGTTTGCATGGTCCAGCAGAATCTCTTCACTCCACATTCCCGTCCGATTGACGTCAACAATCACACCATCAGGCACAGTTGATTTGTGCTTCAGCTTAGAGAGAGCGTGCGGAGGGAGCATTTTTCTATCAGCAGTGATAGTAAAGGTAGCCGTGGGTTATCTATGACTTGTTCGTTCTTGTGTAGCGGGGCCTTGCGTGATCCTTGAGTAGCAATGGCGGTCGTGGGCTTCAAAGTATGGTTCAGGGCACTTGGTTCATGTTCAGGATGTTTTGAGATTGCGTTTCAATAAGATTCTGCACTCGCTCAATAAATTCTCGGCAGGTTTAAGCAGCGTTTGCGTAAGCTTTTCGTGCTGTTGTCTGATGCATCGACACAGAATTCTATATCTTCTTGAAGCGCGCCAGCCAGCCTGTGAAGCATCTAATTTAGATGCATCAGGACCGTGTAAGTTTCGGTAAAGGTTCTAAGCTTGATGACGAATGTAGCCGTTTATCATACGCAGGCCATTTGCGTTCCTATCGAGGCCCAACGGTGTCGATGTTCCTCAACATCGCCATGTTTGGGTACGATCTCCTCCGATCGACCGGCGCGCAGTCCTCATAGCAATCCGT